GAGGCAAGGAAGAGTGTCATATTTTATATTACTACTAAGATTTTGACTTTTTTTTTTTTTATATATATATATGCTAAATTAATACCCCCTCAGTGAGTAAGTGGAAAGAGGTTTTTTGGACAACCTGTTCACTTTTTCCTCATGCTTATTTAGAAACATTATGTAACAATTGTAACAAATGTACTTTCTCTCTCTTCTCTAGAAGATGCCATCAGCGTAACTTCCTCTAAAGTTGAAGCAGATTCCTCAGATGAAAGTGAAGAGTCTTCAGAGTATGAATCCAGTTCTGATTCTGAAGGAGATGAAGAGGAGGATGACTCGGAGGAGGAAGAATTAAAATTTCTGGTAGATCAAGATGAGGATGTAGATGTAGAACTTGAGGATGATGCAGAAATTTACAGGGACGATGATATGTCTATTCAGAGTAGTCCAGCTAAGACCTTAGCTGAAGAAGAGCAAAGAACTGAAGAAGGGGAAGCCATGGAAGACTTAACACCATCAACAATTGAAGAAGTATCAGCTCTGGGAGATAGAGGCCTGGATACGGCAGCTGTGGATTCAAAAAGTGTATTGGAACAGGACACTGTGGGAGAAGTGCTACCAGAAAAACCCGTGGAAGATGACATTAAGAAGGTTATTGAGAAAGCTCCATCACCATCAAACCAAGGTACCGCTTCTGAAAGTGTGTGTGTGGTTGTATTGTTCAAAAGTGAGTTATGGAAAACTTTAAAGAGATTTCACTTTTGACTGGCTGGGGATTGTACAGATAGACAACTTGTATTTAATGGGATTGATAGTTATTTGATCTTATTAGGTCAGTACTTTGATAGAAAACACTAACCGGTCGATTTCAGATTTTTTTTTGCATTTTTTCTTCATTTACTTTTAAACCTGAACTCCAAGGAAAACAAATATTGTCTAAATATAAAAGGCATGTGCATTCTTAACCCTTGGTGTTCTTTGTGTATTTGTTCTAGATCTGTGTAGTAATCCAGCATAAAACTATTCTTGCACTATGCCTCTATGCTGGAGCTTCCTGTAATGAAAAACAGTCACTATTGTCTCTCCTTGTGCAGGGTGATTGGTCTGATTTCCATCTGCCTGTAGGTTTCCACAGGCAGTCTGTAGTGGATGGACTTACTGGGTTCCCTCAACACCTCTATTCTCTGCACAGTTATGATGTCATAGCTACATAATTGCTACTAAGGGATGCACTGATGCAGGTTTTTTCGGTACTCACCGATACCGGTTATCCCATTAAGGAAGCCAGTCGGCGTGTAATGACTTGCTGCCTAGTTTCCTGATTATCTGGGAAGCCCTCTCTATGCTCCCTCCTCACCAGGTGATGAGGAAGCATGGAGCTGGCATTCTGGCCAATCAGAAAGCCAGCAGGGGACGGGTAATGACTCGCTGCCCAGCTTCCTGACTGGCCGGCACCCTGGTCACCAAGTGAATGCTGGTGTATCTGCTGTAGAGGGAGCACCTGGCAGTGAGCTGAGCGCAGCGCCCGGACATGCTGGTGGGTGGAAGTTCCCCCAAGCAGCTGTCCTTTGTGTCCTACTTGACTCCGGTGGTGAGCGAGCAGGGGGCGCCCTTACCTAGTGCCAGCATCGCCCTCCTTCCTGTGTCATAGTGCAGCCATAAAACCTTACCAAGATTTTGTCCTGATGTGCTCATTATAATCTGCTTAAAATGTGTTTGTTTTCTATGATTTGCACTTGACATTATGACAAACATTTATAAATATATATTATTTATTTTAGCTATTGCAGAAGATCCTTCTGAAGTTTATGTAGAACTCCGCCTAGAGCCAGTCCTAGACATCCCAAATGAAGAGGCTCAGGAGAATGTGGCTACTCGTCCTGTAACACCCACTGGGGCTTTTGGCGAATCCAGCTTCGTTCTTAAACCTGAAGAGATTTCTTCAGATACTCGGCAAATACCAGCTAAATTACCCCTCTTTGTTGCAGAAGAAGAGGTGCTCTATCCTCGCACACCTGGACGAGACACAGCTGTACATTTGGATTCTGAGGTCCCTCTACCAGCTGTCCCCAAAGTGGCTCCTACTGCACTTCCGTTGTTCCCCCATAAAGACGAGGAGCCAACAGTCCACCATGAAAAGAACTGTGGGCATTTAGCAGTCACAAAAATGCTGTCTGAGGAAGAGTTACCACGAACTCCTGGCAGAGAATTCTCTGTCAAATCATCACACCTTGCAAAGTCACAGAGTACTGATACTGTTCCTGCCACACCTGGTAGTGATGCTCCTCTCACAGGTAACAGTTTGAACCTAACTTCCCCCCACATTCCTGGAAGCCCATTTTCCTACCTTTCTCAATCCCCTGGTATAATAAACAGTGGCATTCCAAGGACTCCTGGAAGAGATTTTAACTTTACCCCAACCTTCCCTGAATCTAATGCTATGTTTCCCTGCCATCCCTCTAACAAGAAGCCCTCAGTTGATGAGCCCGATGAAAAGTCCTTTAAAGAACCACCCAGTGCTTCCATAATCATGAATAGTGTTCCTTCACCCATCCCATTTGCTAGCCCCCCAAGAGGGGATCTTCAGAAGGATATTAGTTTAACTGGTGATGATCTGGAATCATCTGAAATGCCAACGTACCTTTCAGAAGATAAACTATTAAGTGAAGAGAGTGAATGTGAGCTCTCTAAAATGCAGCTGCCTTCCACTGAGGAATCTGCACCCTCGCCTACTCTTCCTCCTTCAAGTAAAAGGAAGTCTGGGCGGACCAAAAAGCCTCCTCCTTCTGCACTTGCAATAGAAGATAATGTTGACAAAAACTCAGAAACCCTTCCTTTGGCTGCATTAACAGAAATTGCCCTAGGTAAAGGTGTGTTTGATCAAGCTAATGAAGTCTGTGGAATTAAAGATCCAGCAGCTGTTCCATTAGATTTTAGGAACGAGGAGCACCCTAATTTGACAGTTTATGAAGCCATAAATCAGAAAGTTCCATTAAAGGAACTTGAGAACCAATGGAAGGAGGAGCGAAGGGAAGGAGAAGACTTTACCAAATTGAAAAAACCTAACTGGAGGCTTAAGAAGAGATTTGGTGAGATATCCGCTATTCCTTCTCCTGAATTTTCTCCACCCCGATCTCTCTTCAAGCCTCGGTCAGAGTTTGAGGAGATGACCATTCTATATGACATATGGAATGGCGGAATAGATGAAGAGGATGTCAAATACTTGTGCATCACTTATGATAGGCTGCTACAACAAGACAATGGCATGGACTGGCTTAATGACACTCTTTGGGTCTACCATCCTCATATCCTTTTCTACAATTATATTAGTCTGTGATATTGAGGTGGGGCATTAAAAGGTACTGTGGTCATTTATCACTATAAAGAGGGAGCTTTTAGGACTGGTTGTCGTGCATTTTACTACACAGGTAAAACGTATACCCTACTTGCTGCATTACGAAAACGTCCTCTATACTGCATTTTATATTCCTTTGACTTGTTTTTCATTGAAGTTAGTTAAAACAGTGTGCATTCCTGGTACAAATTTGTATTAGGTATTTCTATTTATAAACATAGGAGAAACATTGTAAAGAAAAACAGCAAAATTGAATGCATACAACACAATGAACTAAAGTAGTCAAGATATGCATTCTGGAAAAAGAAGGCTACATATCAAATTGACTGCTGGGGACACTATGGGTCCTTGTGTGACATGAATACAGAGCAAATATCATGTGCATGTACCAGTGGGCTCATAAGAATGTCAAAACACAACTATATGACCTGAAATAAAGGGTAGAGAGTAGAGGTGCACCGAAATGGACATTTTAAAACCGAAACGAAACCGAAATTAAAAAAAAATGTCAGACCGAAACCGATACCGAAAATGTTTTTTATTTTATTTTTTATAAACTTTTTACATTTTTTATATTCATTTTTATTTATTCATTTTTTATTAAATATTTTTTACTTTACTTTTAGGGGCTTTGGGGAAATATTAGGGGTCTAAACAGACCCCTGATATTTCCCTTTTAAAATAAAAAAAGAGATTGAAAGTCCTCAATCTCTTTTTCTGTGTTCCCTGTTCTCAATGAACAGGAATCCTCTGAGTCTTCCTGTTCATTGATAACATGAGTACATTGTTTGTTTACTATAACCACAATTATGAATGAATGGGGGTGATGTAGATCACTCCCATTCATTCATGATTGAGGATATAGTTAACATAACATATTCTGAATTATGTACACACACTCAGCGATCACTGATCACTGAGTGTGTGTACATTGCTTTTCTCTCTGACACGCTGTCACAGGAGGCTGATCGAGCGGTGTAGAGAGGAGAGCTCAGCCTCCTGTGACAGCGCTGTCTCCGCCCCCACACCGCTCTGCCGGACTGTGATAGGCGGCTGATCGGTGTGGGAGGAGAGACGCCGGCCGTTCACAGCGCTCTCGTCCTGCAGCGCTCGGCCGGCTGTCACTTTCTTTTCTCCCCGCTGGAACAGCGCCCAGCGGGGAGAAAAGAAACCAGGGATGTGCCGATGTATCGGCCGAAACATGGCTCTTTCGGCAGTATGCCAAAAGTGCCATTTTCGGCCGATATGTTTCGACGGCCGATATATCAGAGCATGGGTGTAGAGGTATAAGTGGAGAGGAGAAAGGAAAAGGAGAGTAACCAATGATCTTAATAGAAGAAGGGAGGGATTGGGGAGGGAGAAATAAAAGGGACCCAAGTCGAAAGCACAGCAGTGCCCATTGAATTTGAGATATTTCACTCAAAGGGACCATATTGTTTACAAAAAAAATTGTGTAATTCAGGGTAGCCGTACCTATCTCATTAATCATGGTACCCGTGATTCTTTCCTCAACTTCCCCGTTAGGGTGGGTTGTCGAAAGGCTAAGCAGTCGTCTTTCTTGTGGCTAAGAAAATATGTTTAGTCCGTAGGCTTTCATATTTCGTAAGGTTTAAAATGTTTGTATTGTGAAAGGCCTCCCAGGTATCTCAAACTCCAAAGGATTATAGATCTGATAAGATTATGAATGTGAATCCACAATTGATGGAATGTGGTACATAGTACCTCAGGAGGTACACCCTCAGCTTTAAATTGATTCCTGAGATTTACACAGTGCCCTCATAGAGCACAGCTAGGTAGATGACACTACTTATATAGTGTATATAGTGGTGTCCTCTCTTCACCCCCAGCCTACAGAATGGAGAGTGAAAGAGCAGTAGCTCATCTCTGTTCACGCCGCTCACTCCTCCTATTGGCATATTTCTTATTAGGACATTTGATGCAGCATATCTGCTCCTCCCTCCCCCAGTCTCAGTGCTGCTGTATAGGGCATTGCAAGCAGTTGATTCCAGGTCAGATTCAGGTACATACACTAGTTGCACTAAAACTATAATTTCATAATTTATAAATAAATGCAGAGCTACATTAATGTGTCTTTTTTATGATTGTGTAGACTTCAAAGGAAAACCTATTAAGATTAAGAAATGTATGTTACCTACTCCAGATGTATAAACATTTTAGCTGCGTGCAACGTGTCAAGTATCTATCACTGATATGTACTGTATGTCATGTTTATCATGTTTCTAGCTTAACTGGATTGGTTGCTGTGGAAAACACTGATTCAGTTTATATACAGGAGGCATAGGGGTTGATTTACTAAAAGCAATTGGGCTGTTTTCTTTGCAAGGGATTTTGCTCTTTGCAGGTGAAGTTTCCCCTTAGCTTAGTGAATGAGGTGAAACTCTAGTGATTCCCATAATCCAATCATGTGCAGTGCTGTTCTTTGGGGGGGAGGGGGGGATTTGTTTTTTTTCCTTGCGCTTGGTTTGGTGGTATTGGCAAAGTGAAAATTTATCACATTCACTAAGCTAAGGGGAAACTTCCTCTGTAAAGTTCAAATTCCCATGCAAAGTGAACAGTCTATTTGCCTTTAGTAAATCAACCCCATGGTATATATACATAGGGTTTCTATAAAGGAGTCTTTGTCTGTGTACGTCTATGCATAGTCTATGTATGCGAGAGAATTTGCGTAATCCTTTGGAATATTCTTATATATGAGCTGGTGTATTTTTTGGGAAAAATGTTTCAATGCATGATCCTTAACATTTCTTCACCTACCAGTGTTTTTTCCCCCAAAAAGAAGAAACGGGATGATGGACTACGGGAGCATCTTACAGGCTGTGCTCGTAGTGAGGGCTATTATAAAATTGATAACAAAGACAAGGCTAAATACCTCATTAATAATCGCTCTTTGACTGAAGAGCCTATAAATGATACCCAGGTAGGTGATCCTTGTTGCTCTTTATCAAAATAGAAATGCTTTACACAGTAAATCTTACATAGGACATAGGAAAAATGCAGTGGCTGCATAAGTAGGACACTTGTACAATTTATAGTTATAAATTAACGTTCCTAGAAACCGCATTTCTGAGTGCAGTCCTACAGGTACTTACAATGACTACAAATCCAGAAAATGTTTTAAGTGGCTGTTGTATTTAAGGGTTACAGGTTTTTCTGACCGATTCCATTCTCTGAGTACATTACTTCAACAGGATAATTTCAGTGGCAGAAATAAATAAAAAAAAGGATTCCATTACTAAGGACTATTTGAAAATGCTGGTTTGCTGTATTTGACTTCAATACTGGATTCTCAGACCCCAAAACAAGCATGCAGATAAAAGTTTGAGTGAAGTCAAAACAGGTCCCTTGGCCTTAGCAACGGGTTGTAACATGTATTTGATGCCCCTATATCTTCTAACTTCTATACCCTGATTGTATGAAAAATGTAACGAGTGACAAAGACATGTGTACATGTTCACTCATTCAGCAGGTTAGCTGCCTAAACGCTAGTCAATGACAACTCTGTTTTACTGTCTAGGGGAAGAGTATTCCTGCTCAGCCTCATACCTCCACCCGAGCAGGCTCGGAAAGAAGATCAGAACAACGGCGACTGCTTTCTTCTTTTACTGGAAGCTGTGATAGCGATTTGCTCAAATTTAATCAGCTGAAGGTATGACAACACTATTTTTTTGTTTCACATAAAGTCTTCCCAGCTTTTCCTGAAGAGCAAATATTTTGTCAATATCCTCAGTATTGGCCCTCTAATGGAAGAGTTAGATGTTTGTTGTGTTTTAAATATCCATAATGCATCTAAAGCAGTTGTATGCTTACATAATATGCAGCGCTAATAAACCTAAAAGAAAGGTACTTTTATATGCAAGAGCTATAAATAGCTACCAAGGCATGTACAGTGTCAAGTGGCAGTCTTATTTGATGGAGTTACGTGACAAGAAGGGGCACAGCTAAGCACTAATGCAGCCATAACCTTCTCTAAGTTCTAGATAGAGTTTGTGAACCTCTTTGGGTAGATTACTCCTCACTTACTGTCCCTATGACACTGGACAGGAAATGATGGGAATGGTTGTCACCAGAACAGCAATGAAAACCTGACAGAAGTTCTAGCCCTGCCTAAGACTACTAAAAGGAGTTTTTTTGTTTTTATGTTGTTTTTTTTCTTTGTCCCTGTGTGGACGTGGAATTAGACTTTTAACGTAATTTCTCATTTTGATAGTAATTTTAAATTGTGTATTTAAACGTCTTGATGACTGAAAACTATGAACGTTTATATCAACAAATGATATTTTTAGTTCCGCAGAAAGAAATTGCGTTTCTCCAAGAGCCATATTCACGACTGGGGCCTTTTTGCTATGGAGCCAATTGCTGCAGATGAGATGGTTATTGAATATGTGGGACAAAACATTCGGCAGGTAAGTTTGTCTGCTGGTAAGATGTTTCTGTTAGCAATTGACTGGTCCAGGTTTGAATTATTATCTATACAATATAATTTTATCTTTATTTTTATTAGGTCATTGCAGACATGCGGGAAAAGCGATATGAAGATGAAGGGATTGGGAGCAGTTATATGTTCAGGGTGGACCATGACACCATCATCGATGCCACAAAGTGTGGGAATTTTGCTCGATTTATTAACCACAGCTGCAATGTAAGTTCTCATTTGTATGTTAACTAGTCACTAACGTTGAACAAGACAGAGGCCTAAACTAGACAAATCCACACATTAATTGGCACCTTAATGGGTAGATCTAAGAGTTCACAAATTCAAATTACAGGTTGCATTTAATAAAAGTGTATTGATAACGTCCCCAAACAAACCTATCTATGATATAGTTTTGATTAACAAGGGGTAAGTGGCTTTGGGACCTGAAAAAGACCACGTGAGCCATGTAGCGGAATCATTACCCTGGATAGCTGCACCATGCCAATTTAGGTCATTCAGCCAAGGACTGTGGCTGAGAGTCACAGTAGCTAATAGATCATTTTAAAATACATTCGTTTGTCAATTTCCAAATACAGGTCTGTAGAATAAAATTTGTGGTTTGCACAGTTCATAACAGTACAATGTACTTTGCTTCACGTGCACTGGTAGTTCTTTGAGAAAATGATATTCTACAAAAGAGGGAATGTTGACACTGGCCATGGTACTGTTGGTTATGAGGGTTTAGGGTACTTTGGAAGGGTAAAAATAAGTCCCTGCCTCCCTTTCTAGGTAAACGCCATTTGATGGTAGCTTTAGGCTTGTTTCTGTGTTTTCCTGTGTAGCACCTTCCCTACTACCATGAATGCATTGAGATCTTTGGTGCACCTCAAAGCTTGAAATGCCTAAACTAAATTCCAGAGCTGCATTAGCTACTCGATGGAGTGTTACCAGGGTCTGCCATAGGAGGATGCAATTGGCATTTTTAGACACACACATTGCCCTATCTCTTTGAGATATCTTGTTTACCGAATGAAAGTGACATTCATAATGACTCCACATTCCCATCCATACAGCTTCATCTGAAGTTTCACTCAGACACAACATATCTCAAAGAAGACAACTTCTACTGTGCTCATATGTATATAAAACAGATCTAAAACCCAATTTTCAATACCTAAATAATAAAAAAAGTCCCAAAAACCATTAGTCTCACTTTTAAGCAACTTCCCCTATGTATGGCAGCTATAATGAGATTAGGTTGAGGGAAAATTTGATGTCTCACAAACATTCTGATGTACAATGGCAGGTCAGTCTGTAATACATGCTGCCCATAGACAGGAACACAGGAGTACAATAACCTGCTGCCAATTCCTTCCATCTGAGTTGATATGTAGATGTGGTATGTGCAGCAAATGCTTTGTTCCCTTTGTGAAAATATCAGTTTGTATGTGGAGGTGCATTTACCCCTGCCACTCCTATGACCCTTACACATCCTTCAGATTTGACATTTGTCACATTAATTAATACTGTGTTGCTGTGATTGGACATCATTAATATTCTGCTGTTTACTAGAATTGTTATGGAAGCGAGCAGATACAACTAGAGAAACCAATGACCACATCTATCTTCTATTTATTTTCTCCTTCACAGCATTATGTTTATTGCTTAGATACAGATGCCCTTTTACCTGTTCCTCTCATTAAATGAACCCTCCATGACCCTGAATATAATAAAGGCCTATACATTTTTCAGCTGCTTTTATTCAGGAGAATGCAGCGTGCCTTTCCACTGTGTACCATGATTTCTTTAATTGAATAAAGCTAGTCATCTATTTTTTCAGCAATGTTGAGGGTTAGTACTGTATATCGAGTGGTTCTGTCTGGGCTTATGTGGGTTACAAGTTCACAGTAACTATGGAGAGAGACAGATTAACATGTAAAGTTGTCAATCTAATATGCCTCATTGAATTACAAAGTGCTCATTTCTCATACCATCCATTTTGCAGCCCAATTGCTACGCAAAGGTCATCACTGTGGAGTCCCAAAAGAAGATCGTCATTTACTCCAAACAGTATATCAATGTGAATGAAGAGATTACATACGATTATAAGTTCCCCATAGAGGACGTCAAGATCCCTTGTCTTTGCGGAGCAGAGAACTGCAGAGGGACGCTGAATTAATCAATTGTCTTTTCTTTGCACCTTTCAGCTATAGTGGACTGCAGAATCTAGGTGTAAGTTGCACTTTTGCCAAAAAAAAAAAAAAAGTTCTGAAAGTGAATGGTTTCGCACTTCTCTTGGGCTTCTGAGCAACAAGAGCACATGTACGTTAAGACGTTGCTTCTGATTGTATGGATCCTGGTGCTCTGTGTGCGTGTTTATTTTTCTTTTCCACCTCACCCCGAAGAAAAAAGGCGACTGTCATCGAGAGGCAAAGAAAACACATACCAGTAGAAAGCATTTTCTAAGCCAACCTTGTTTCTTGTTGGAGCTAATACGGTACCTTTTTTTCCTTTTTGTCATAAATGCTGCTAGTTTTCTTATCAGGTGATTGTCCTAAATATGAAGAGGAGATGCTGTAATGGTATCCATTGGAAGACTGATGTTACCTTTTGGCTTTCCTTGAAGGGAATTCTTCTTTTTTCCCTTTTCTCTGAAGATAAACTTTTGCTAGATGACAATTTGCTATTTACTGTAAGGCTCCTAAATGTGGGCGCTGAGCTGCCCTTTGCTCCCTGAATTCCTCAGCACTATTGATGTCAAATTAATCTGTCAGATATTTTAAAAGGTAAAAGTCCAGCATAAGAGCAAATACCCCAGGAATTCTGCTATTACCCTTCTATAAGCTAGAAAAGCATCCCCTTTGCAACTAAGTTCACTTTCTTACAGGGACCTGACTGAAGGGCTAAACCATGCTAGCCGCCATTTCCATGTCCAATGAAAATGCCCCAACTGGCCAGTGAGGCACTCACGTGGCACAAGGAGATGGCAACTGGTAGGGCTTAGAAGTCAGGTCTCCCTAACAAATGTAATACCAGGCATCCTGCGGTCTGTGTTCTTTTAGTCAGGATTTTTATTTATTTATTTTTTTAATTTAAAATGTTTGACTGGTTCATATTAAAGCTTAGTGGCCTATTCACCCGTTCATTTGATGCAAAGCATGCTGTGATGCTCATGCAGTGCTGCAGCACATTTTACTGTACACTGTCTGCACAAAGGTACATCCCTGTGTTTGGTGAAGTGGCCTTCATTGTTGACTCATGCCGTGTTTTGCAGCCAGCGTTCACCCTAGAGATGAATGGTGTGCATTATGCACAACCTAATGCCATCCATGCTCCAGGCTTTATTGGGTGATGAGCTGCACTTGGATATATGCTGCTAGCTTGCATTGGTCCTGAAGATTCCAGAACAGTCTCCACTTCAAGGAGACCCGTTTGTCCCCCCCCCTGTGGGTTGTCACTAATAACTATTCTTATTCAACAAAGACCATTCTTCTCTCCACACCATCTTTTTTTACGGCACATCCTATTTATTTATTGTTCTGTCTATGGAATGTGCATTTTCTCATGCTTTGTCACAGATAGGATTCATATAAAAGGGTATTTCAGGTGTGTATTGACCAGGGGACAGCAGCCAGAATAAATAAATCCTTCTGGTCAGCAGCTCATCCATGGTCCAGGGCGAATAGGAGGGCACTTCCCCTCCCTAAATTAGGGTCAACTGAGCTGTCACAGTTCTCTTAAAAATAAGCAAACAATAACCTGGATAAATTACATGTGAATGTCCCAAAAGAAAAAAGCAATTCCTAATTCTTTGTTTACAAAGCACCTGCTGAAATGCCCTTCTATATGAACACGTAATCAACAGTTAGACTGCTTTCATGTTTAAAATGTAGATCAAGTTGCACTTCAGATTCTCAGAAATAGTTTTTTATAATCATTTTAATTTAAGGCTCAGTACTAATGTTTTTGTACAGTAGCGCCAACACCATATCATGCATTCATCTTGAATCATGTGGATTTGTTTCATGTATATAGTGGGGTTATGCACACAGACCAATAGATGCATTTTTGCAGACCAGCCTGATGCATACTGGTGCGATTTCCGCACCCTATGTTACAGCGGACACAGAATAAGCAAACTGTTTCTACTGTAATGCACTACAATTCAGTTCCATGTTGTGTGTGCACGGCAGCCTGCATTCACTATAGATGTGATGGGGGTTGTGGTGTATGTGCTTCTCAACATGGCCTGAGCACCAGGCATCAAGCTGCATCTATTCATGTTTGTGCATGAGACCTTAGGCTGCATTGTAACTTGCCAGAACATATTGCTAGATTCACTAAGGCATGCCAAGTTTAAAGTGACACTAAAATCAGGAGGTATATCTTAACAATGCATTCAAGTACCCTATTAACTAAAATGTATCTTATGTGTGTATCACTCGGCTGTAGATCCTCAAATCATCTCTGAATTGGTGCTGACACAGTCCTTCCTTCTGCAGTATGGCAGCGTTTGTTCTCCTGTGTGTGTTGTACAGTAGCCACCGCTTCAAACTCATTCCTGTGATAGACTACAATCTCAATACAAATTAGTAAACTAAACATGAGATTGTAGTCCATTACAGGAGCGAGCTTGGAGCGGTGGCTACTTTACAACACACACAGGGACCATGTGGAACAAAAGTAGCCCCCCTCCAGAAGGACAGTGTCAGCACCAATTCAGAGATGATTTACGGCTGAGTGATACACAAATAAGACACATCTTTGTCACTAGTTAAGGTACATGAATCTATTTTTAAGATTTAACTCCTCAGTCTAGTGTCATTTTAACGAGCAGCGTTGCCTTGTAGCTTTCTAATGAATGTCAAGTCTGCAATGGCTTCCTTCATATATGGCAGACCTTTTTTAATGTATTTATTTTAGCTATACACTGCTGCCAGTATTAAAGGAATGTGTTTGAAAGATCCCCATGTAATGGACCAGACAATGATCCATGCAACTGAAATTGTGCTTTTGTGTAACTGTTCTGTTATAGGAATTAGGTTAAGTTGCTTTTAATACCAAGGTTATTACAGTAATGGGATGGCTTGATTAGTGTATATCTGCCTTAAAAAAGGAATTGTGATGTGGGGCTCTAGGCAATTGATCTTCCAGCTTGCATATATCTTTCACAATATTGCAGCTCTTATCCTTCTAATTTGAGTACAACGCATTCATTTTTTTTAGCACAGTCCACTGACGAAATGAATCTTGGTGTCCTAGTACTGCAATTTGTCAATGAAGGGCTCTTGTGGACATCATGCTTTCCTTTAGTCTGCAGATTAATTCCTTTTATTTGGGGCATAGAATTTTCTACATTACTGCTCAGTTGCCCCTTTTAAATAGGTGTAAATTCTCCCTTTATAACCACTTTGGTAGTGCAGATAAAACAAAACGTATTCCTCATTTCTCTTGTGTTCCCTGAAGCAACGAGTGACATAGTAGTATGGAGATAGATTGTCATTTGTACAGGGATTGTCAGTTGATGGCTTGCATCTATTTGGAGATGTGGTGCTAATTTACTAAATGGGTCATTATCATGCTAGCCTATGTTCCGTTCAATTACGCAATAAGTTTTCAAAGAATTTGCTTTAGTGGCGTGAAAACAAAAATACAGTTTGATTTTCTTAGCAGATTATCCCAGCCATATAGAAGAGAAATCAACAGTTTGATAAGGAAAAAATAAGGAACTTCTTCCTTGGTAAAAGGTTTTTCCCTTTGCAGTGCATTGCCTATCTTTTTTTTAGGATTTAGGTAGTCCGGTCTCTCTTAGATGTTTTACAGTAAATGTCAAATTCCCTACCCAAATAATCCCCAGCAGGCATCCCTATCTTAAACATGTACCATAAACACTGGCGTTAAACCTTTGAAAGCATGGAATTACATCTCGGACAAGTTTAGATTGCTTTGTTCACTTGCGTGAGTTCTGCGGTCAGTATGGTGCACATTACATGGGTCCGATTCTCTATACACTAAAGGAAGATTTTTTCCCCAGGTATGTTTAACACAAACACGGAGCAGATAGAGCGTTAGCATTTAATTACAGTAGCATCAAACTACAGGTTTTTAGTAGGACCTGGATATTTAACTGTGTATCCATCACTCCAAGCCCTGAATTCTAACTTTTGCCAGTAGATATGTTTTGTAGGGGCACATTGGTTATGTCTGTGTGAGGAGCAGCTCAAACATAAGTTATGTTTACATTATCTTATAAAGGAAAAGCCCATTCAGTGAAATTATACCATTGTTACCAGTTTAATATTTTACATTTTTTTTTGGTCTCGTGTAGTCCTCTTCACACCGCACACACTTGTAAATGCGTCCATGTTTATTGGAGCTTCTTCCCAGTGGTCAGTTTGGACCAGCCAAAGCAGAGCACATGATCAGATTTCTAGTAAATGATCATTTATTCCACTGTAGAGTTCCAGCATACAACAATACTGGGGATACATAGGAAAGAATTGTTTGCTTAACAGGCCACGCAACCTGCAATACACGGCAGGATATTACTGCGGCTGATAGTTGGATGTTTAAATATTTCTATACCTTAGCAGGGTTTTTACAGCTTCCACACTGTGAATTCTCTGTGATTTAAGCTCAGTCATGTCAGCATAACATTGACCCTTTCAGAGTAACAGATTTCTATTTCTAATACAAGTGCAGAACCTTGATTTATATTTCTGTTTGTTTCTCTTACTGGGCTTCTAATATGCATAGGAACAGCTCCACTCAACGTAAGATTTTCAGTATTATGAACCAAAAATCCTCTCGTACTTCTTGAGTTTTCTTCCCTTACATGCTGCCCTCTACTGTTAAAAGATAGGCTTTAGCTTGGAGTGGACTTTGTGTCTTCCGAGGCTTTATTGTTCATCAGGAGCTGTACATTAGAACTATAAATGAATATTTCCCAGTATATGTGGTGCACCTGCATTGAGAATTTCCCCAGATTTTACATTTCCCGATTTAGCGCTCGCCTTTATTTTAATAACTCTTGCTATCTATCCACTTGTCTGGCCACTATGCATTCAATCGATGGCCATGCTATAGAAGCCCAGTGTGACCCTAAACACCAGCACTTGTTGCTGTCTCGGTACAGTGCCAGACAAACCTGCAAATGAATACGTAGTAGCCTATAGAGGC